AATTATGACGAGCTTGAACGAATTTACAACTTTACAGCAGATCATTTAAAGGATTTCCTTTTAATTTAATAATATTAGTTTTATTTTATTGGTTCAGCTCACTTCCGTTCAAATTGAACGAGGCAGAATTTTATTTTACACGATTTGTGCAAACAATCCTGGGGAGTCGAAACGAAGTATCGTGCGAAAGAGGATTGCCAATTTTAAGATAAGTTTTACAAGATAAGTTTGAAGTAAGGAGAAAAGTTCATACAAACTTGTATGTTAATAAGATAGTGTTAAAAAAATATATATATTACAAATATTAGCTAGTTCATTCAACAACATTTTTAGATTATACTGTACAATATATAAATATATACTAATCACAAATTTATTTTATCATATAATTATATTGCTGTATAATAAATTTATATTACTATATCATAAATGCTAAATTAAATTACATTCTTACAAAGATACGTTTTATCATTATTACGAATTTCTTCTCATATTACATTTTAACACATAGAATTTGTACCAAAATTCTTGCACCAGTCTTTCCAAGATCACATTGTTCCGTTGGTTTTGCAATGATATGAGAATAATGTCTGAATGATATGAAAATATTACAAGTAATTCACTTTCGTTCGAAATGGGGGTTGAGACCCAGGGCGATGGTCTTCATGGAAATTCTACGTTCAAAATCTCAACATAATAATGCTGCGACGATGTGCTTTGCGATTGGTGTCGTGCGAAACAAGCGTAAGTGCGTGAAATGTTTAGCGAAAGCATGCATCGAAGCACGCCGCGTGAAAGCATGTTCTGTATTACGTAGAGTAACTCGCTGTACAAAGTAAAATATTGAAACAAAGGAGCAAGATATATAAGAAAAGGAATTATCTACTAGTTTGTCAAAATTTCATCGAACAAAGTGTTCTTATTATCTTACAATTCGATCCATAGAGAGGCTTCATTAGCATGGTTATTTATCTTCTGTTACTTGTGCAATGTAACATTCTCAATCAAGACTCGTTTACTTTCTCTTTCAGTTATGAAAATCATAAGTCGTGTAACATATACACAATGAATGAGAAATTTATAGTAGAATCTTTTATTCCAAGATTAGCTCAGTTAAGATCAAAAGTGGTATTAACACTGTATCAACAGCAGCATTGTTAATTTTCTGTTCCAATCTAATTTGACGTTTCAAAATTAGATGGATCCTAGATTATAAATTGTATCAACAATACGAAAAAAAAAGAAAAAAATCTAGACTTTCAGTTAAGTACGAGATACATATTTCAAAGTTAAGAACACTGATCAAGTATGAGATGGTAGAGAATGATGAAAGTAATATTATATATTACTTTTGTATTACTTTTTAATAGTAACATTTCAGAAATGAAATTTGTAAATTTCGACTAACAATACACTAGATGCACGTACGTTGTTTTTATAAACATGTGCTGGATTGTTAATTATATCACGTATTACAATTTATTTGAATTTTACTTTCTAATGTATATTTCATTTCAAGTTCTACAACGTAGCGAAACTAGTAAAATAATATAACTTCCGTTCGCCACGAACAATATGTAATTTATCTTTCGAAACTTCAACAAAACTCCACACAACAGTGAACAGCGCGTGCGTATTAATAGACAATCAAACCGACCGTTTTCAAAGCTTTGTCACTAAAAAGCAGAACGAGACCGACACGCGAAGTTTGTTAAATGGAAAATATTCCCTCCATCATTCCCTGCCTCTGTCACTCGTCATTCATTTCATTGATCCGCGAATCTTAAACGTTGAATATCCGTGTGTCAAGTCGCGCGCGACTCGTGATGATGAGATGCGTTGCATGATTCGAAACGACGCGTGAAAGAAAAGAAGGGGGAGGGGAAAAAAAAAGTGTACGCGCGTATATATACGTTTAGAATATCTCAATGAAAAAATTACCATAAAACACAGAGGTTCGAGGCCAGTTGGCCTGTATTTCGAAAAAAAAAAA